ATTTGAGTACCCACATGCATTTTTGATATATTTTTCATATATATATATATATATATATATATATATATATATATAAAATATATAAAAAATTGATGTGGGTACTCAAATGAAAGGTCTCGACGAGTGCAACATCAGGATGAGCTTATATTATAAAAAATCTCAATATTTCATAAGATACAAGGTAGTTTCTTAATTACTTATCTAGAAATAAAGAATTTTCAAATGCAGCCTAATTAAATTAATGAATAAAAAAATTTACCCCAGGAAAAATGTCGAGCCCAAGATCCCAAGGTTCTCCAGCGCGGTCATACTCCAGCAGGTCCAGCGGCTCCAAGTCCAGGAGTCCAAGTCCAAGATCAGCGTCTCCAGCATCAAACGCATCTAACGCTTCCGTACGCAGCCGCCAGAGTAACCACAGCAACCATAGCCGCTCCAGCAGAGCAGCTTCTCCAGGAAGCAGACGGTCCTCACCCAAGAGTCACCACTCAAACTCCAGGTCCAGGTCCAGGTCCAGGTCCAGATCCAGGTCTGCTTCTGCAGCGAGTAATAATTCAAACAATCGCAGCTCTCGCAGCAGGTCAGCTACTCCCAGGTCCAGGTCAGGAAGTCCCAGGAATGATCAAGGAAGTCCTGGAAGCAAGAAGTCAAGGTCCAGATCTGGATCTAGGTCCAGGTCTGCTTCTCCAGGGAGTAATAAAGAAGATAGGTCTAGATCTGGGACTCCTGGAAGTGCGAAAGGTGAATTTATTATTAAAATTATGTCATATATTTATATAAAAAATGCATGTGGGTACTTATATCATGTCATATTTTTATTATTAGGTAATAGATCACGTTCAGGATCACCAGTAAGTGCAAAAGGTGATAGATCTAGATCTGGATCTCCAGGAAGTCCTAAAAATAGATCTAGATCTGGATCTCCAGGTAGTGTTAAAAACCAAAGATCTAGATCTGGATCTCCAGAAAGTTCTAAAAATAGATCTAGATCAGGTTCTCCCGGAAGTCCTAAAAATAGATCTAGATCTGGATCTCCAGGAAGTCCAAAAGATCAAAGATCTAGATCAGGATCTCCAATTAGCAAGCCAAGAGGCTCAAAATCTCCAGAAGGAGAAGCTAAATCCGGCTACGACAGCGACGAAGAAGTCGCTAAGCGAAAACTCGCTGACCTGGAAACGACTGAGTCCGACGTGGAGGCAAAGAAAGCAAAGCGCCACCGAGCGTTGATCGATAGTGACTCTGAAGAAGAGACACCAGCGAAGACTGTGAAGCCAACAGCAGACGCGCTCTTTGGAGATGCTTCGGACATCAGCTCTGATGAGGAGAAAAAGTCTCCCAAGTCGAGGTCGAGGTCCAGGTCCAGGTCTAGATCCAAATCCAAGTCCAAGTCTAAATCCAGGTCCAGGTCTAGGTCCAGGTCCAGGTCCAGGTCCAGGTCCAGGAGTCGCAGCCGTGGGCGCAGCGAGGAGCGCCAAGAAGACCCGGAGGACAAGGAGAAGGAGGATGAACCTGAACCTCCACCTGAGACCAGGATTGATGTCCTCATTCCGAAGATCACCACCGACCTCGGCAAGGAAATTCACTTTGTCAAGCTTCCTAATTTCTTGTCTGTTGAAACCCGGCCCTTTGATCATGAGACCTATGAGGATGAGATTGATGAAGAGGAGACCCTTGATGAGGAGGGTAGGGCCAGGTTGAAGCTCAAGGTTGAAAATACCATCAGGTGGAGGGACGAGTTTGGGGAGGATGGCAAACCTGTAAAGGAAAGCAACGCTAGGTTTGTTAGGTGAGTTTATAATTAATAAATCCTTTAATATTTATTTTAGAAAAAAATTTTGAGTCAAAAATTATAGCTTAGAAAATTTCCTATAAAAAAACGTTTTTATACTATGGGTCTATCTTTAATATTCTAGGAGATGTAACTAAATTAATTACTGCGCATGCGCGACCGCCATTTTGAATCCCTCCGCCATTTTGTCGTCAAAGTTTCTACCCCAGTATATTATCAATTTTTGCTTATTTAAACGCGAATTTACCAACTAAATTAAATAAATTTTTTTAGATACTTATTTCAACTCTTTATAAATTTATTATAAATTTGCAGATGGTCAGATGGCAGCATGAGTCTGCATTTAGGTTCAGAAATCTTCGACGTGTACAAACAGCCGCTGCAGGGTGACCACAACCACCTGTACATCCGTCAAGGAACCGGTTTGCAAGGTCAAGCGGTTTTTAGAACAAAGTTGACCTTCAGACCGCACTCTACAGATTCGTTCACCCACAAGAAGATGACCATGTCTTTGGCCGACAGGTCCCAGAAGCTCCAGGGAATAAAAGTGCTCAGCACAGTGGGCCACAACCCGGACCAAAACAGGTACGAGCTCATTAAAAAGGAAGAGGAGAAGCTCAGGATGGCGCTGAAGAACCAGGGGAAGGCCAAGAAGACTGGAAGTGGCCGGGGTGCTGGCAGGAGCGCCAGCTATGCTGCTGATGCTTATAATGACGATGGTTCCGATGATGAAGGCGCTATTTCGCTGGCTGCTATTAAAAGTAAACACAAAAAAGGCGGTGCTGTTGCTACTAAAGGTAATTATTAACTTTTTAATGTTTTAATTGATGCTATATGATAAAAGCTTGAAAAAAGTATAATTTTTAAAATTTAGTTTGAAAAAAATCTGTAAGATGGCGTTGCACGCCGGATTAAGAACTACGTCACAGCCCCGCGAAAATTCAAATCCAAAAAAATTATTTTTTGTTTTTTTTTAATAAAAAAATTATTTTTTTATTTATAAAGTCGCCTAGGGGTATTTAAATAATATTTCTTAATTTTTTTAGTAAATTTTAAAGAAATAAAATATTTAATTTCTTTATTAACAATTATATTTTATTATTTTTAGTGTCTGCATCAAATATTTACTCGTCGGACGAAGAAGGGTCTGACTTTGAAACAACTAGACCTCGAAAAAGTGTCAAAGGCAAGGTATTGAAGGAATCTGATGAAGAATCTAATGCTAGTTCTAATAGTGGCTCTGAAAGCGGTGGAGATAATGAAAAGGCTGATGCTGATAGTGATTAGATGAACTTATTTTGTATCTTACTTATTAATATTAATAATAAAGTTTTTTTTTTTTTTAATAATGTATAATTAAAAAAAAAATGAATCTTTTTGCAATTTAATACCTAATTATTTTTTAGTTACTTTTAAAGTAACTAAAATTAAGGAGATATAGGAGCTAGATAAATAAAAATAAAAAAAATTATTTATTACCAAAATTAATTTTTTTATTATCAAAAAAGTGTTGCAAAATAATTACAAGTATATAAATATTGAAAATTTTTTAATTAAATTAAATGACACATAATAATGTTCCGCTCAAGCCAATTTACTCAATTCAGAATTACTAAAATAAAAAAACAATTGACGAATAAAAGTAGCAGGAAGATATCTACAAAAAATCTCATAAAGATTATTTTCAACTTGATTGAACAATTTTTTTCGTTGTCCAGCTTTTTCCAAGCGAAACTTGATCATTCCCGCGTACCTAGGAAACTTGTCCGCCATTTTGTCGTCAAACTTATCTTGATCGCCATCTTTGAACCTGAGCGCCATTTTGTGATCAAATTTGTGGAGTATATCAAACAGTGAAAATCCAACAATTATCCGATAAGTATTGTTCATAATTTCAACCTCATTATCATATTCAAATGTTTTCCCTCTTCATTCAGAACATTAACATCACAACCTGTATTGAGAAGCTCTCGAAGAATAGACCTAGCTTCTTCCGATACCCTATCATCATCCTCTAGATAACCAAGACAATTCATCTTGTCCTTATCGAGATAATTTATATCTACCAAAGGATGACAGCAGAAATCTGAAACTTGATAAGCAAGCTTTACCAGCTGCGTCCATCAGAGGAGTGAATCCAAATTTATCTACAGCATTAACATCAGCGCCATGTTCGATCAGCAATTTCAACATTTCGACGTTATTTGACTCAGCAGCGAGCTGTGAAACCCTTTACTGTCATTTCTTCCGTAAATATTGGCGCCCTGGCTGATGAGATACTCAGCGATTTGATATTTATCGACCTGGACAGCAAATTCCAGAGGTGTAAATTCAACAAAATGAATTCTAGAATTCCGCATATCATTAAATCTAGGACTTTTTAGCTCATATGTCTTACCTATAAACATAACCTGATTGACATCAGCGCCAGCTGTGATTAATTTTGTCACGTACTTCAAGCTGCTCAAATGTATTGCCAATAAAATTGCCGGGGCAAAACAATCTGTCGCTAGTGTCATGTCGGCATTGTAAATCGTTGTCGTCTATTAAAAAATACCCAAGTGAAGAATTGTATATTCTACAAACTCGGTAGGGCTTCGGTTTGTTGGAAAGAATTCTGAACTAGGAATTCGAATTCGGTCGGCACATTAATAAGTCTACCAGTTACTTCTCTACCCCTTTAACCCTTTAACACGTCTACCATAACCACAAACTATACCACTGGACAGCTCTACCTACCAATTGCAAGTATACCATTTATACCATCAGTTACTTCTCTACCAACATTTAAGTCAACCAATCTCTCTCATAAATTTTTACCGATGTATTCACAGATAACTTTCTTGACATTATTAAGTCACGAACTTGCGTGTAATTCAACTTTTGAAAAATTATAAAGTCTTTTATTTCTTCACAAAGATTTTCCATGACTAATTTTGATTTTTTTATAATTGAAATTTATTATCAGCTGGCTGTTGATATTTACTTAATGTTATAGGTTATGTTTCACAATTGACTATAGTATAATCATAATTATAAATTGCACTGTCACGCCACAGCTATAGTGTCTAAAGAGGCGGGAAAGTTTTTGATTTTTTGAATCACTAAAAATTATTATTTGACAATAACTTTGGGCTCAAAAATTCAAATATTAATTATTTATTTTATTTTTCGGCTCAACTATTAAAATATTGATTTTTTAATAAAATTGTGGGATCAAAAATATAAAATTTATTTTCAATAGCAATTTTTCATACATTTATCGGCTTTTAAATCAAAATATTGATTTATTAATGAAATTTGGGCTCAAAAATTGAATTTTAATTAAAAATTTCGACTTAAACATTGAAAAATTGATTTTTTGTTGATTAAAAATTGAAAAATCAATTTTTTCCTATAATTTTGGGCTCAATCATTGAAAAATTAATAGCTTGTTAAAATGATGGGCTCAAAATATTGGAAAATTAATTTTTGATAGTAATTTTGGGCTCAAAAATTGAAACATTAATTATTTACTTAATTTTTGGGCTCATACATTAAAATAATAATTTTTTACTAAAATTCTGGGCTCAAACATTAAAAAATTAATTTTTAACATTAATTGTCGGATCAAAAATTAATCCTTACTACAAATTTTGGGCTCAAAAATTGAAAAATTAATTTTTTGTTAAGATTTTTGGCTCTAATATTTAAAAAATTCATTTTTTAATTTATCAGACCAATAATACTAAAGTTAGCAGACATAAATGTTTAACAATTTTTAATTAATTGAATCACTTAAAATTATTATTATTGTTATTATGCAAAAAAATTCCCTCTTAAAAAATCCATCAAATTTAAATTACCCGCCAAAAGATCTGTCAATATTTTAAGAGAGCGCTGCTAGTAATTTCCCGCACAAACTGTATTCAATAACATTACCTTGTCATTATTCATTATTCATTATTTATCAATCACAATCACAAGTGCCAGCATAAAATAAATAATTACGCCATTTAAATATTGGTAAAGCATCTAGGACTCCAAACAAGTCTAATATATTTTTTGCGAACTTGTTAGACCGGTCAAAGGTCGCTGATACTTCGATAAAATAAATAATTATAAAAATTAAATCGATCTGCAATTCAGAAATAAAAGTTAGTGTCTACAAGTATATCCAAAGTCCAATCAAGGCGTTTGCTTGTTTATCGTTAATTTATCACTTGTTTCTATTCCGACAATTAGAAAAAATATTTCAGGTAATTATCAAGTGAAAGTTTTTACTTATTTAAATTATTTTATAAATTTTTAATGTTTAATTTTTTTAAATTTTTATTTCAGAAATATCGTGTTTATTTTGCCACGACTTTTGATTATTTAGTGGATAATTGTGCAATTAATATTTACATTCCGGTGAGTTGGAAATTTTTATTAAATTATTTTATTTTAAAAATTTATTATTATTATTATTATTATTATTATTAAAAATAATAAAATAATAAAAATTCTTAATTGGCCAATCTTTGACCATTAATTAATATTTCAAAAAAAAATTGCAGAAAAAATGACTCGAAGGGACCCAGTTTACGTCGTGGGAGTAGGGATGACAAAATTTGAAAAGCCCGGAACCCGTGACGATTTTGACTACCCGGAAATGGTGAAAGAGTCGGTAACAAAAGCTCTGCAGGACGCCAGAGTGCCTTACGACTCAATAAAAGGGGCAGCAGTTGGCTACGTGTACGGTGACTCAACCTGTGGGCAGCGCGCCCTCTATGAAGTGGGCCTGACGGGATGCCCGATCTTCAATGTGAACAACAACTGCTCAACTGGCGCCTCGGCGCTGATGGTCGCTAAACAGATGATAGAGTCCGGGCGCGCCGACTGCGCTCTCGCAGTCGGCTTCGAAAAAATGGAGCGCGGCTCGCTGACCTCAAAGTTCCTCGACCGGACCAACCCCATGGACAAGCACGTGGGACTCATGTCCGAGCTCGCCGGAATCTCCGACGGGCCAATCACTGCCCAGTTGTTCGGCAACGCCGCCATTGAACACATGGAAAAGTTCGGAACTAAGCCCGAGCATTTTGCCAAGATTGCTTATAAAAATCATCTTCACTCCGTCAATAATCCCTATTCGCAATTTAGGGATAAATACAGCCTCCAGGAAATTCTCAAGGCCCCGAAAGTCTTTGGCCCTTTGACCAAGCTTCAGTGCTGCCCAACTTCAGATGGCAGCGCTGCTGTTGTCCTGGCCAATGAGCAGTTTGTCAGGAAACACAATTTGCAAAAACAGGCTGTGGAAATTTTGGCTATGGAGATGACTACTGACACGCCATCTACTTTTGCTGAAAAAAGCAGTATTAAGCTTGTTGGGTAAGAATTAATTTATAATTTTTTTTTTTTTTTAATTAAAATAACCTACTTAGGATTTAAACCTAGTGTTCCTGGGGATTAATTCAAATTTTTATTAAAAAAATGTTATAAAAAAGAATTTTTATCAATTTTTTGATTAAAAATTGATAAATAAATGAATTACTTAAAAAAAAAAAGTGGTCAAAATGGCGCTTAAAAAACAAGAATTTAAAAAAATAGTTCGGAGGAAACAATTTGTAAGATGGCGCTGCGCGCCAGATTAGGTACTACGTCACAGCCCCGCGAAAATTCAAATTTAAAAAAATTTTTTTTAATAAATAGCATTAATTTTTTATCGCAAAAGATTTTTATTACATAGAAATTAAAAAATTTGAATATTTATTTTTTTAATAATAATAGACAAGTTGCATTTTATATTTGAGAGAAAAAAAAAAAACTAGTTATATAGTAAATATATTTTTAAAAAATTAATTAATAATTTAATCAATAGAAAATATTTTTTTATTTAATACAAAATATAGTAAATGCTTAAAAAACGAAAAATTAAAATTTTTAGTTTGGAAAAAATCTGTAAGATGGCGCTGCGCGCCGGATTAGGAACTACGTCACTCTCCCGCGAAAATTTAAATCCAAAAAATAATTTTTTATCTAATAAGGTCACCTTGATGTATTTAAACAATTTTTTTTTGATTTTTTAAATACTTCTAGGTACGATATGACGAAAAACGCCGCAGAGAAGGTCTTTAGCTCGGTTTGCTACAAACCTTCCGACGTAGATGTGATAGAATTGCACGACTGCTTCTCAGCAAACGAGCTGATAACTTATGAAGCCCTGGGGCTGTGCGCTCCAGGTCAAGCAGCCCAGCTGATTGACTCCGGGAACACCACCTACGGCGGGAAGTACGTGATCAACCCCAGCGGGGGCCTGATTTCTAAAGGTCACCCTCTAGGAGCGACCGGGCTGGCCCAGTGCGCGGAACTTAGCTGGCAATTGCGTGGCGAAGCTGGAAAGCGCCAAGTTCCTGGCGCTAAGCTCGCTCTGCAGCACAACATCGGCCTAGGAGGCGCTGTGGTCGTCGCGTTATACAAACTAGGTTTCGCTGGCGGTCCCCAGATGAATTTCATCAGCGGAAAAGTTTCCCCGGAGAAGTTCCAGGCGAACAAAGTCTTCAAGGTGTTTGAAGTCGCGATGCAAGATGACGAAGACGGGCTCATTGACAAGTACCGAGGAGTTTATGGGTTCAAGATCATCAACGGACCTGGGGGCGCTGAGGGCTACTGGATTATCAATGCTAAAGCTGGCAAGGGCAAGGTTGAATTCGAGGGCAAGGAAAAACCTGATGTTGTTTTTACCATCAGTGACACTGATATTGTTGACTTCATTTCTGGAAAGCTAAACCCCCAGCAGGCGTTCTTCCAGGGGAAGATCAAGATTAAGGGCAATATGGGACTGGCTATGAAGCTTCCGGACCTTCAGAAGCGCGCTGCTAAGAAAATTGAACTGCTCAAGGCTAAATTGTAGGCACCTAGGAATTTCTGGTTAAGGTTTTTTTAGAGCGGGAGTTTTAGAGCTTTATTTCTACTGTTCTAGGAAATTTTTCAGGTTTTATACAATTGTTATGTAATTTTTTTATAAATAAAGAGGGCTAGGATATTTTGAGGTGTTAAAATATTGATTAATTTTTTTCAAGGTAAATTTTGAGCTCGAATATTAAAAAATTAATTTTTGGCTCAAACACTGGAAAATTAATTTTTGACAATGAATTTGGGATCAAATAATAAGAATTAATTTTGATTATAAACTTTGGGCTCAAATATGTAAATAATTAATTTTGAGCTCAAAAACTAAATGATTAATTTTGAACATTAATTTTAGATTAAAAAATTGAATAATTAATTTTTAACATTAATTTTGGGCTCAAACATTGAGAAATGAATTTTTAAAATTAATTTTGGGCTCAAACTTTGAAAAATCAATTTTTGACGTTAATTATGGGATCAAAAATTAAAAAATTAATCTTTACTATAAATTTTGGGCTCAAAAATTAATTATCTAATCAATTTTTGGGCTAATAAATGTGAATATTAATTTTTCACATTTAAAAAAATTTTGGGCTCCAAAATTAAATTATTAACTGTTTGTTTAATATTTTATTGAAATGTTGGGCTCAAACATTGAGAAACTAATTTTTAACATTAATTTTGGATTAAAAAATTGAATAATTAATTTTTGACACTAATTATGGGATCCAAAAATCAAAAAATTAATCCTTACTATAAATTTTGGGCTCAAATGTAAAAGAAATTGATTTTTTATTGAAACTTGGGGGCTCAAACATTAAAAAATTAATTTTTAACATTAATTTTGGACTCAAAAATCAAAGTATCGATTTTTTGTTAAAATTTTGTGCTCAATAATTGAAAAATCAATATTTTTTTAAAATGTTTGGGCTCAAACGTTGAGAAATTAATTCTTATATTAATTTTGGGCTCAAAAACTGAATAATTAATTTTTGACACTAATTTTGGGCTTAAAAATTAATAAAATTAATTTTTTGTTTAAATTTTGGGCTCAAATTTTTATATAAAAATTTTTTACTAAAATATCGAGTTTAAACATTAAAAAAATTAATTGGGGCTCAAAAATTTGACAATAAATTATTACTTAATTTAATTTATTCCTCGTACGTAAAAAAGTTACAATAGACAGTAAAATTACTTAAAAAAAAAAAAAAAAAAACATTAAAAATAGGAAAAAATGTATAAATTAATTCGATCGCCTATTGCACTATCTTTAATGCTCAATTAATAATTATAATTTCTACTCTATAATAATTAATATAAATTAAATTCTATACAATAAATAATAACGCATTTAAAAAAACCGAGACTTGAATTTGTAAAGTCGATAAAAAAGCTTGCGCACGGCAGTTAATTGAATGATTTTATTAAATCACTCATTATTTTAAATGTAATGAGCAATCTTTTGGAAGAATTAGTATAAATTTGTATAATTAATGCGTCTATGGCAAAAATAGTTTTCTTAGTGAGCAAGTATTTCCAATTCCTTATGGAAGGCACAAGCGTCAATTGTAACGTTAATTTTGAGCATAATTTGGACGTTTCTGGGTAAAGATGCGGCTATTAATTTTACGGGGTGAACATTTATGGAGAAACAGTCTCAAGTATGGGGTAAGTAGTCCAACGGATTAAGATTCATTTATTCCTTGTATTTACACGAGTGTTTAGACTCTTTCAATACTAACCAGGTTCTCAGCATGCCTGAAAAAAAAAAAAAAAAATTAATTAAATTTATACTTAAATATACTAAGCAGTATATATTTTTGAAAAAAATTATTTTTAATTACATTATTGAGACCCAAGATTTGAAAAATTAATTTTTAAAATTAATTATTGGCTCACTCAAACATTAAAAAATTAATTTATAACATTTATTTGGGGCTCAAAAATCAAGAAAATTAATTTTTAACATTAAATGTAGGATCAATTATTAAAAAATAGTTTTTAACATTAATTATGGGCTCAAAAAATTAAACAAAATTAATTTTTTGTTAAATATTGAGCTCAAGCATTAAAGAATTAACATTTTAATGAAATTTTAGGCCCAAAAATTAAAAAGATAATTTATAACATTAATTATAGGCTGAAAAAAGTAAGGAAATCAATTGTTTGATAAAAATTTGGACTCAAAAATTTAAAAAAATGAATTTTTAGTATTAATTTTCGAATCAAACATTAAAAAATTGATTTTTAAAATTAATTACGGGTTCAAACTTAGAAAACTTAATTTTTAATGTTAATTTTGGGCTCAAAAATTTAAAAAAAAAATAAATTTTCAAGTTAATTATGGACTCTAGATTAAAAAAATTAATTTTTTACTAAGTTTTTGGGCTCAAACATCAAAAATTTAATTTTTTGTTTAAATGTTGGAATCAAACTCAAAAAAATTAAATTTTTTACTCAAATTTTGGGCTCAATAATTGAAAAAATTAATTTTTTATTAAAATATAGAGCTCAATTATAAAAAATTAAATTCTTTACTAAAATTTAGGGCTCAAATTAAGAAAATTAATTTTTTAAATTAAATGTGGGATCAATTATTAAAAAATTATGTTTGACATTAATTATGGGCTCAAAAAGTAAGAAGATTAATTTTTAGAGTTAATTTTGGGCTCTAACTTTAAAAAATTAATTTTTAACATTAATTTTGGACTTAAAAATTTTTAAAATTAATTTTTTGTTTAAATATTGGGCTCAAACTTTAAATAATTAATTTTTAACATTGATTATGAGCTCAAAAAGTATTAAAATTAATTTTTTAGTAAAATTTTAGGCTCAAAAATTTAGAAAATTAATTTTTAACATTAATTTTGGACTTAAAAATTTTTAAAATTAATTTTTTGTTTAAATATTGGGCTCAAACTTTAAATAATTAATTTTTAACATTGATTATGAGCTCAAAAAGTATTAAAATTAATTTTTTAGTAAAATTTTAGGCTCAAAAATTTAGAAAATTAATTTTTAACATTAATTTTGGACTTAAAAATTTTTAAAATTAATTTTTTGTTTAAATATTGGGCTCAAACTTTAAATAATTAATTTTTAACATTGATTATGAGCTCAAAAAGTATTAAAATTAATTTTTTAGTAAAATTTTAGGCTCAAAAATTTAGAAAATTAATTTTTAACATTAATTTTGGGATTAAAGACTGAAAATGACTTTATTAATGAAATTTTAAGCTCAAAAATTGAAAAAATAATTTAAAACAATAATTATGAGCTCAAAAATTAAAAGAATTAATTTTTTATTACAACGTTGAGCTCAAGCATTAAAAAATTAATTTTTTATTTAAATTTTGGGCTCAAAAATTAAAAAAATTAATTTTTAGCATTAATTTTGAAATAAAACATGAGAAAATTAATTTATATAGTTAATTATGGACTCAGACATTAATAAATTAATTTTAAACATTAATTTTGGGCTTAAAAATTAAAAAAAATTAATTTTTTACTAAAATATAGAGCTCAAAATTAAGAAAATTAATTTTTAAAATTAAATATGGGATCAATTATTAAAAAATAATATTTGACGTTAATTATGGGCTCAAAAATTTTAAAAATTAATTTTTAGTATTAATTTTGGGCTCAAACTTTAAAAAATTAATTCTCTACATTGATGAATTTTTTGGGCTCAAAAATTTTTAAAATTAATTTTCTTTTAAATATTGGGCTCAAATTTAAAAAAATCAATTTTTAACATTGATTATGGGCTCAAAAATTATTAAAATTAATTTTTTGTTGAAATACTAGGCTCAAACTTTAAAAAATCAATTTCTAGTATTAATTTTGGGATCAAACATTAAAAAATTAATTTTTAACATTAATTTTGGGCTCAAAAATTATTAAAATTAATTTTTTGTTGAAATACTAGGCTCAAACTTTAAAAAATCAATTTCTAGTATTAATTTTGGGATCAAACATTAAAAAATTAATTTTTAACATTAATTTTGGGCTCAAAAATTATTAAAATTAATTTTTTGTTGAAATACTAGGCTCAAACTTTAAATAATTAATTCCTTGTAAAAATGTTGGGCTCAAAATAAAAGAACAAATGTTAAACATTGCAAAAGGTACCTTGACTCCAAAAGAAGCTTCGTAGCCCCCCTTGCCCTGCATCTGGTGCTGAATAACGGACAAATGCGCGCTCTCCATGTCCAAGTCTCCGCTGCCGATGTGTCCGGTGTGCTGAAAGTTCATCGGCGCCCCAATCATGCTCCTGTCGATTCTGAGCCGCTGCCTCTGTCTCCCCTTGGCTTCATTCTGGCGCCGGCCTTGACTCCTTGAGCTGCGTCCTTGGTGCGTCAGGCAACAGGTGAACCACTGGACCCAGACCTCGCTGTTGTTCGCCATCTTAATCCCTCAAGCTCTCTCCACTCACCAGCAGTTCCTGCAAAGCTAAGAACGGATCAATATAACCTCAAAATTAATTAAATAAGTTAATTTAAAAATTAATTACCCAGTCAGCTGATCACAAAATTAATCTTCAGTCATTCTTACACTAAAAATTGTAAAAATTGTCATCACTTTATTTTTGAGGTTAATTATTATTAATTAATTATTTTTTTTTTTTTTTTTTTAAGGTTAGAAAAAAATTTAAGTATTTATTTTTCACACTTCAGAAAAACGAAGAAATTATCGAAGAAATAAACTGCCAATTGGGATCAAGTGATACAACCCCAATTCTGAGGTAAATGTTATATATTTATGTATTTATGTCTCTTGTATGTTCAGTTGTTTTCACCTTGGCTTTTAACTTTTGTGATATTGCATGTTATATATTGATATTTTTGTGTATACTTTAAGGCCTTTTCTGACGGATAAAGCGACATCTTTAAAGTTGGCGGGAAAGTTGTTGAAATTTAAAAATTTTTAAATTTGATATTACAATTTTTAAAGAAATTAATTATTAATTTTATATAAAAAAAAATTAAATAAAGAAATTTTTTTAGAAAATTTTTTTAAAGAATTTAATATTAAAATTTTTAAACAAATTAATTAATATTAATTTTATATAAAAAAATTTAATTCAGAAATTTTTTTAAAAAATATTCATTAAAAATAATTAATTTTTTTCTCTAATTTTGGATATTAATGTTGGGCTCGAATGTTTAATAATTATTTTTTTTAATAAAATTTTGGGGTCAAAAATTGAAATAATTAATTTTTAACATAAATTATCGGCTCAAGCTTTAATAAATTAATTTTTTATCAAAAATTTAGGCTGAAAAATTGGATAATTAATTTTTTAATGAAATTCTGGGCTCTAAAAATTAAGATAATTAATAAAATTTTTATTTTTTAATACAAGTATTATATTTATTCTTCTTTCCATTATTACAATTGTGGTCAATTCATTATTTAATGGTTTTTTATAATACTTTTTTTTACAATAATATTTAATACTTACAAAAAATTAGCGAAACCTAGAAAATTGTTCATCTAAACTGACAATTAAAAATTAAATTATCTTTTTAAAACTAAAACTATTTTCGATATAAAATGCTTTTATAAATGCGTTCAAGTGTTTGTTGTTTAAATACTCAACAATGTCTAATACCACTTCAAACGGTAACGGTATAGCTTCTCTAAGTGATGAAATTTTCTTCAAATTTTCAACAAGTCTTACTCTTTCCTTAGCATTTTTTATTCTGAGTTTGATTGGCTCTCGATAGATATCAGAGTAGAGAAATCTCGTGACATTAACCTTCTGCCAGACAATTTCATCCAGGGCATCCAGTAAATTCTCCTCTCGCGCCAACAATTTTACTTTTTTATCATCAAAAACTTGCTTAAAAAGATCATACATTGTCATTTTATTATCACCGAATTCAATAAAACGTTCTTGGAATTCTTTTTCAATGAAATTTCTTTTAAAGTCATCAACAATCTTCCTGAAATATTCATCCTTGGCAATTAATTCATCCATCAATTTAGCTTCTTGTTCAGGAACAGGTGATCTGAATTCACTCCTAAAGACCAGATCTTTTAAAACAATAGCTATACATTCTTTTTGATTTCTTCTGATTCGTTCTAGATAAGTAAGTCGCTCACGGTTTGAATTGGTCTTTATTAAATGCTCAGAATTTTCATCTACAGGAAGCGTGGCGTAGTATAAAACTCTAGGTAAAGACATAGAAGTATAATAAGGCAATAAATCCTCGAGCATTGGACAACTTCTGTAAGCTAATAGATTCGGCAAAAATGTTATTGGGTCATTGTTTATCAGTGCATGCATATCAGCCCCCCAATTTGATAGCTCAGAAAAAAAATCCGATTCGAAATAGTCATAATCATCGAGCACGAAATGTTTAACGTATTGAAATTTTCCATATTGTTTAGGATGGAGTGGATAATGAGATAGTGGTACATCATCATCATCATCGCGGTGGTTCATCAACTTATCCATCAATTCAGGATCTTCAACATTAGACATAATGTCTGAAATAAATAATTCACAACGCTGTTCAACAAGGTACATCAGCAATGTTTTATTTTTAAGACTTATAATGTCTACGTTGACTTTTTTTAGCAGACCAATTATTAATGGTTTATCATAAATAACAGCATATGCAACTAGTGGGATTTTGTCTCCAAAATCGGGACACCATTTTCTGTTTTTGACGTGCTTTGAAAAAATTCCTTCCCCGAATTTAGCATTAACATTTGCATTAGCTTCCACCAATATTTTTATTGTCTTAATGCCTGTTCTTATTATGAACCTCATATCGCGTTGTCCGTCTAGTGGTACATAAAAACAAGCCAAATGAATGGGTTCAGTCCCGTCAGCAGCCATTGCATTTACATCTGCTTTATAATTATTAACTAGCAACTCCACCAAGTCATCTTTATTTTTCATGCATGCAACATGCAATGCTGTGAATCCTGCAAATTCTCCAGATGTTATTATCGGTTCATTTACATTAATTCCATTTTCTAATAACAATTTAAGATCTTTCAATTTATTATCCACAATGGCTTGATACATCAGTGAGTTGTTAGCTGTTATTGGATTTAATTCAGGATCCATTTTATGTCTTCTTTATTGTTATAATAATATTTAGATAAATATATTATATAAGTTATTATAAATATTAAACTTTAAAATTATATACCTTTGATGTCAACTGAGAATTTGGTACAAAATATCTTATAGGCTCTCTTTTACTTTTATTTTTTTTTTTTTGTCTTTAATAATACTTTGCTATTTTTAATTTTAACTATTATTATTATTATATAATTTTAGAAAAAATTATATGACATTAAAGCAGTCATTAGAGAATTTTTTAATTTTTTTTAACAAACAAATTTGATCCAAAAAATAATTGCATTTTTTATTTATTTAAATTTCTACATGTCAATTTTTTTTGCCACAATTTATTAGTTAAAAAAAATTATTAAAATTATTTAATTAAAAAAAAAAAAAACAATTATTTAATTTTTATTCATTCAAATAAATTTGTGGAATAAATAAACAAGTGCTAGCCATTAAAGGTTATGTTTTACATATGCACCACGAAGTATAGATACAAGGAGTCCGAACGTAATGTTGAACGAATGGTCTCAATTTAGGGGACAGAATTTTTGCCGGTAGAGCGCGCCATTTTTCAAAAAGTACTCGTTTAAATCCTTACGCGGGAAGTTTTGCTGTTATTGACAGCTCTGGAAAAAAATATTTTGAGAAACGGGGAATTAAATCAAAGGCAATCTGCAAAGCTAAATACATGTGGTATTAATGGATAATAATTTAAAAATTAGTAGAGATCATACCATTTTATTCAATGAAAAAAAGTAAATGAATGCTGAAAAAAAGTTTTTAAATAAATAAAGTAACTACACAGTGACTTAAAAATTTACTAGTTAAAATATTTTAAAAAATTATTATATTACGATAAATATACTTTATGAAAAAAATTAATTAACAAGTTATTATCAAATATATTTTTTATTAAAATGGTATAAGTTACAAACAAAACGAGTTTAATATTTAAAAATTAAATTATTCAAGTTAAACGTATATTCAGAATATTTCTTTGTGATCTAAAATACTGAATTGTTATTTATATTGGAGTGAATAATTTTTTTTATTAATAGTAAGCGCGAGTTAATGTAATTTAGAAATCTTTCGAGATTTTTTAGATTTAACTTTTCTCTCCGTAGCACTTTTATTAAAACACTTGACTAGAAAATGCCCCCGCATTATTAAAAAATTATTAATTATTTTTTTTGTTAATTCTTTCTTATGCTCATCACAGCCAACAAAAATAGAGATATTCCTTTTAGAAACATCATCTAATATTTCAAACATTGTGTTAATCTTTACTGTTTTTGTCCCAACCACCATTAACACAACTTCCTCTAAGCTTTTAATTAAATTAAATAATTTTTCACTAGGATAAATCAATGCACCTTTATCCATAAGTTCTATAAATTTATCACGAGCCGTCACTACTCTTGACTGCATAGACTCTGTGCAGTCAAAGCATTTGGGAAACCGACCTATTTTACGGGCTACATACCCCGCAATATATGAAATCACATAGTTGCTAGTTTGAGCAATATCTCGTAATCGTGTTCATATCTTGAGTCCACCGAGTTCAAAGGCACTTCATTGTTATTATCATCACCCTCATGATCTCTTCTAGTGTTATCATAATTATCATAGTCGTTATCATTATTATCATCATCATTATTGTTATTATTATTGTCACTTGCATTATTAGATTATTAGAACCTGTACGATCATCGTCGGTATTTGCTTCTGCACTACTGGGATTTCCAGATGCATTTTCAATGATAGCATCAATTTTTTTTCTCCAGTTTTCTTTGTTAACATTACTTGCTTTAAACGATTCTCTAGTCTGCATTAATGAACCTAATAATCTATACTTCGTGTTCAATGCAGACCATTCAATAAATTCAAACTAATTTATTTATTTACACTGACTGCAAAAACTTAAACGTGGTTAAGGTTATATTGTGCAAATGAAAATGTAAACAACCGAAGTACAGCGTTGCCAAATCACGGACAGGTTACTAGCAGTTGATTTGAAAGAGTCAAATTAATTTTTGTATTTAACTATTTTTTTTTTTTTTATTTTCAAAATTTCAACGATTAATGCCTCATATATACTATTTGTTATTTAATTTTAGGAATTTTTATGGGTTTTTTATTTTAATTTATCGTATATTGACTACTACAATTGTTTTGACTCAACTTGAGCGAAAGGATTTCCTTAAGTTTACGAATATTAATGACTGTCTATTTTTTTATGTTTCTAAATTTATAATTGTCTTTTTTTTCGACTTGTCTGAATTTATTCTTTTCTTTTTTTTTAAATTAAATATCAGTCATTTTAGATGTTTATATTCTTGGTCTGATGCGTCTAATTTCACGGAAATCTTTTTTTTTTGATTTTATAATTTTACGCTTATCTTTTTTAAAATAATTCTAATTATTTTGATTACTACATTTTTTTATTGCTATTTTTTTAACTAATCGATATTGCAAAGTATCCTCAATAAGACACATCATTTTTTTATTATTTCTGAAATCTTATTTTTCCATATTTTTCATTTATTGATTTCCTTACTCACAGATTTCCAAAATTTGATGTTTCCATTTTCTGTAAAATTTCCGACCGTAAAGAATCAATGAAACGCATTGTACTATAAAACTTTCTTTAGTTAAATTACAAAGGATAATTTAAAAAAAAAAAAAAAAAAAAAAAAAAAAAAAAAAGGAGTGTTCCTGATTAAAAAACGTATGTCGCTAAAATGTGGCGGTCCTGCCGCCTCGGTCGCGCTCCCAGCGACCAGAAGTCAAAACAAATCTACCAAAGCGCAAATCGTCGGAGCGGGAAACTCTCCCTCTCTCTACAATAAACGATCCCACACAAATTCAAATAATCCCGCCTTTCTGCACGCCATAGCTGTGGCGTGACTGTGCAGTATTATTATTATAATTAATAATATATTATAAAGTGTGACCTGACTAATTATAAGGAGAGACGCTAAGTTTTTTATGTAATAAATAAGTGAATAAATATTATCAAACACGAATTATTCTTGCAATATTATTATCATTATTAGTATATAGTGTAGTACACCTTAACAACTACAATTTTGTAATACTGCCTGACATCTAATAACAAGCATTATAACTACAATGGATTTCGATGGTAACGTGTCATATACCGACTGTGAGGAGAATTTGATCTGCAGAGCCTGCAACGTACCCATCCCTGATAGCCAAACTGGTCGCAACTTTCCGTTGATTTGCTGCAGCAACTTGTCACCAAGTTGGCGGCAAGTCTTGGAAATGAACTCGGTTGTTCACCAACTTGTCGGCAGAAATTGCTTTCGAAACTCTTTCGCATCAAGTTGACGACAAGTTTCTCGAGAAATTTGGCGACATATTGCGGCAGTAGATTGGTCTTGTTTTTCTCAGAAACTTGTAGCCAACTTGACGCCAACAGTTTCAAATTCGGAAGTTGACCGCAAGTTGTCGGTAAGTTGGTGGCAACTATCTGACACCAACTTGGTTGGTCTGAAACTGTAGCTATCAGGGTCGATTTGTTGGTCGATTTTTTACCGACTGTTGTTGGGGATTATCATCCCCTGATAGCCAAACCGGTCGCAATTTTCCGTTAATTTGCTGCAGCAACTCGTCACCAAGTTGGCGGCAAGTCTTGGAAATGAACTCGGTTGTTCACCAAGTTGTCGCCAAGTTGTCGGCAGAAATTGCTTTCGAAACTCTTTCGCACCAAGTTGACGACAAGTTTCTCGAGAAATTTGGCGACATATTGCGGCAGTAGATTGGTCTTGTTTTTCTCAGAAA